GGTGTTTCCCCCGATGGAATTTAAGATACCAAGGTAGATTGTTTTGTACCAAGTGACGAGCTGCTTAGAGAAAAGGTACTTAAGGAATGTCACATTCTGCTTTGCGGTACTCCAGGAGGGATAAAATGTACCAAGATTTAAAGGCAGTTTAGTGGAATGAAATTAAGAAGGGTGGCTAAATTCGTGACAAAATGTCTAACTTGCCAACAAGTGAAGGCGGAAATCAAAAAATCAGGGATGTTGTAACCTCTACCAATAGCCGAATGGAAGTGGGAGTACGTGACAATGGGCTTTGTGACAGGTTGCCTAAGTCGCCTTAGAGGGCGCAATGCTATATGGGTAATAGTAGATCGCCTCACCAAGTCAGACATTTCTTACCCTATAGGATGACCGACAATTTAGAATCCATGTGCAGCCTCTACATTGGAGAGATCATTCGACTACATGAATTCCGGTATCTATTGTGTCAGATGATGATCCTTGGTTCACTCTCATCTCTGGGAAGCCTGCAGGAAGCTCTTTGGTACTGAGTTATGTTTTAGCACGCCTTTCACCTGTAAACGGATGGACAATCTGAACGCACCATCCAAACACTCGAGGATATGCTGAGAGCTTGCGCAACGGATTTTGAAGGAAGTTGGGAATGACAGCTACCCCTAATTGAGTTCGCCTATAACATAGTTTCCAAGCTAGCATCGGTATGGGCCCTTTGAAGCATTATAAGGACGACCTTGTAGATCGCCGGTTTGTTGTGCGGAAGTGGGTTGATGCAAATTTGATAGGACCCGAACTTGTTCTAGAAACTACTGAGAAGGCCAACTTGACCCGACAAACATTACATTCCATCCCAAAGAGGAAATTTAAATCTTTGTATGTGTCCTACCAAAATATTTAAAGAGAACTTTTTAACTTTTCTAAGATAGCCAAAGGTCTTCGAAAGTTTTAGACTCGTCGTCTCCAGCTATATGTTCCTCTTCGGCACCTGGCATAACATGCCGTGAGCTTTGAATGCCCAGTAAACACACACACACCCCGTCCCTTTTTCCCAGTCCAATACACAGTCACAATATATTTGTAACGCCCCACTTCCGGGTCGTTAATAAATCAAATCAACCTCGTTAATAAATCAAATCAACCTCAAATTTATAATCGCAGATAACTCATAATCCCAAATATACAAATCATCTCCACAAATAATTAACTCAAATGTCTCCAAACTAATCTTCCGAGGACTCAGCGGGGCAGTGATGCTATTTGGGTGGTTGTAGACTGGTTGACTAAATAATGTGACTTCATTCCTATGCGCGTATTTGATTTTATTGTTGAGCCAAATAAAATAAAATAAGATTGAATGTATAGCTTTGGTTGTGAATCTTAAAAAAAAAATAAAAATAAAAATAAAAAAATTGTGAACTTCATGTGGGCATTTTTCAAATTTGAGCAAGATATGGATCCTTTTTTAACTCAACACAGATTTTTTAAACTCATTCCATTGGAAGATGTACAACTATACAAAATTATTTGCCTAATGTTGATTTAAAATGCCTTCACTTTATTGTTCTTAACTAATTATAGATAAGTGTGTTTTAAGGGCTGAATCCAAAGTTTATCTCAAACATATTACTTCTTCATTGATATTTCTATATAAAATAAAAAACAAGTATGCATAAAATAAAATATTTGAATATAAACTTCAAAACAAAAATAAACTACAAAACAAAAATGATTGCTTGGTTTCCAATTTTCCAAAACACTTTTCAAAAAATTCTACTTTCTTATTTTTCGTGTTTTTTTGTTTTTACTAAATTTTTTTAATATTTTAAGCAATTTTTTTAATATTTCAGAATGGTGTCCTCAAATTTTCTGTGATGTGCATCACAGATTTTTTCCCCCCTTATGTGAGTAAAATTTCCCCTTTTTATGCCAGCTCACAAATAAGAGTGCCTTGGTGACACAAAGAAATATGGTCCTAAGGGATTGTTTGACTTAGCCAAAAAGTCACCAAAAAAATCATAAAATCATAAAAAAAGGTCAAAAAATTCCCCCTGTTCTCTCTACCATTTGCATGTTTTTGTATAGAAGCCAAAATCATTCCCAAACACTAATTTTTTCACCTCATAGCTCAACCAAACAACCACTTAAAAGTTGACTTCCCAAACAAACCCTAATTTCCATGACAAATTATTGCAAGTGTTTAAAGAACTAATAGCTGTTATGCAATATATCCATCAGGACATGACAAGTCGTAGCACCCACAAAACAGCCCCAACCTCAAGAAGACAAAGCTGAACTTTATATTTATATCTTAATAATGGAAACATCTAGTGGGTTCACTTTCACAAATAATACTGTAAGGAGATATATGTACATGAGTATCATGAAATACTTATAATCTGGTCATGATACCAATGATTAATTATAATTTCAGAAAAAGTAAAATATTACAAATCCTTTTTTTCTTTTTTCTTTTTTCTTTTTTTAAAAAAAGAAAAGAAAAAGAAAGTAAACGCTGAACCTAAAATTACTGGGACAAAATTGCCAAGCTCAAGGAATAGGGTGTAACAAAAAATATGTAATCTTCCTTTCACCTTCTTTTAAGTATGATGACAATGGGGACACAAACCAGCCTCCACATTGAACTTAAACCGATGCTCCAGCAGCAGTACCCTTATCCTTCTCATATTCACCTTGCTCTTCTTTCGCAAACTCTTCAATTAGTTCCCGCTGTCTTGCACTCAAATTTCTGCACAATGTATCCCATATAACCATCAATCAGTGTGTAATTATCACACTTGTGGGGAAGAGAGCACACTTTTGACAAAGACAAGTAACCAAGTAATTAGCATGAATATCCTCCACATTGCAACTACTTTGTGCAAATAATGCCAAATATCTCAAGACCCCATCCAATGAGAACTAAAATGGGATATATACAAAATAACTATAAATATTATATATAAAACAAAAAAATAAAAAAGGATAGTCAAGAAGGCATGAACCGTGGTATTAATAACAATAGCTCAGAGAAAGAGAACATACGCTGGGATGCTGACATTGAAGTGCACATATTGATCCCCAAACGAGTAAGAGTTCCTTGTTTTTATCCCTGTAAATATATATATATATTAAGTGTATAACTTGAAAGGCACATATTGTACGATACACACAACTGAATACTTAGCCAATTATACTAGGGCAGCATATCTACAACATCATTTTTTGGGGGTGCAAAAAACTGGCAGAAAAACAAAATATCGAAGTATACAAAAAGTTACAAGATGTACACAACAGTACTAGTACAAAAATCAGTGGCCTGTATATTCTTTCTTTTATTCCTTTTATTTTTTTGTGCTGCTACACTCACCCAATGTGCTGCCAAGGAATTTTGACTCCGATGGAAAATATTACTGCCAACACTGGGCCTAAAAATAAATGTGAAGCTCCGATATGAGACACACTGCGAGTTACTAGACAAAAAAAAAAAATACACTTCTCATTTTGCCTTCTGATGCATGTCCTCCAACACTATTCTTTATTTTAGCTATCCATCCAAACTAACTTCTTAATGATGTGGCATTTTCTCATTGGCCAATTGATGTAGAATAAATGCTTTAACTGTCAAATTGAGTCCTATGCCTATGTGTCATAAGTTCCCTATCAAGTGTTCTATTAGTTCAGGCTATTAGTGGCTTTGGACTATAAATATGAGATGTACTTTTGTTAGTACTTAACTTTAAATTGAACAAAATAGAAATCAATTGAGCAAGTGCTGTTGGTTCTCTATCTAACCCTTGGGGGTTTACCCCTAATTGGGGATTTTGTTCTCTCTTGATTTTGGAATTTGATTGTAAATTTGGTTGCATTATTGGCCAAATTTGGCTAGCCTTTAATGGCTGGCCAAATGTAGCAAGCCAAATTGACAAGTAAAATGCCTAATCAATTAGAGAGCGCCTATTGGATTTGTTAAAAGTGGGAAGAGCTAGCTATTTTGCCTAAAAAGCCTCATTTGGAGGGCCTGTTGGAGTTGATCCAATTACTGTACCTTTTGAAGGTCACAAAAAAACCATCCCCATTATGTTTTTGGAACCCTCAATCATAATACGTTGGCCGTAAGCTTGAGTTTTGACTACCCTTTTTGCTATGCATAAGTTCAGCCATCTAAGTAGAATGGACAGAGAAACAGCAGAGTCATTACAGGACAAGATATGACATTTAGGGCTGCAAATGAACCAACCTGTTCGAGAACTGGCTTAGCTTGGCTTGTTAACGGCTTGGGTCGGCTCCACTCTACTCATTTAGTAAACGAGACGAGCTCGAACTCAAATAAGCTTGGCTCATCAAGCTCGACTCATTTATCTTTATTTAAATAATAATAATAATAAAAATCTTCACGAGTCGAACCGAGCCGAGTTCAAGTTCCATTGATATTAATGAGCTGAGCCGAGCCGAGTTTGACCCTAGTTAGTTATTGAGCTGAGTTTGAGCTTAATAAACAAGCTCAATAAGTAAACGAGCCGAACTCAAGCTTAGCAACACTCGGCTCAACTTGTTTGTAGCCCTAATGGCATTACAAGAACTCCATAGAACTTGGACACAACAGCAGCAATACAAATATCTATACATTTTAAATTGGGCCACTTACCAATTAGTCCTATTAACTAGGCTTATTTACCTACAAATCCTGACTGATAAATTTATCAATGTAAATTTATTCATAAAAACAAGAGTGATAAATTTATCTCAAAAATAGGACCTATTAGTAATTTACCTACATTTTTTTATTTATTTATGGGAAACACATGCAATTGACATGTGTCATTTCATATAAGAATAAATTATTAAGAGATCTATATTAGCATGGCCAAATGATTCTTATAGAAATAGGTGGCTAGTCTATCAATAACTAACTTTTGACATTTGAAGATTGTAAATTTCAGAGTTTTAGCTCTTGTATCCAATTTGGAATTTTCACTCTCCACAACTCCAAATTTTCTATGTGGAGGATCCCTACTTTAGCAAGATTCCTCAAGCTCTACAAAAAGGAGATAGAGCTTCCCATCCTAGTTACATGTTGAGAGAGGAATGGTTTTCCCTTCAATGGGCAGAATGTGTGTGTTCCAAATTGTTCTTTGTGAGAAAAATTACTAAACATTTTGGCAAGAGTAAGACTCTTGGGTTTCTCCAAGGTGAATAATCTTGGTCGGGAATGGCGAAGGATGTGGGAAAACATGTGCAAAGATGTCACATTTGCCAAAGAAGTATGGGGAAAGGTACTACTGAGGGTTTATACTTGCCTCTTTCAGGGCCCAAGAGTCCTTGGAAATGTATTAGCATATATTTTGTATAAGACAGCCACCAACACAAAAGAAGAGTGATTCTATCAGTCAAGGTTGACCGTTTGTCATAAATGACACATTTTATACCTTACAAGAAGACTGGACACTACAAATGTTATTAATCTCTTCTTCAAGGAGGTCTACAGCTTCATGGAGTTCTTATATTCATCGTATTGAATAAGGATGCCAAATTCCTTGAACACTTTTGGAGGACTTTATGAAAAAAAATTGGAACCAACTTGCATTTTAGTACTAGCTTCCATCCACAAACCAATGGCCAAATGATAGTTTAACAACCCAAATAATGCCAGGTGACATAACCATATCCAAATGTCCATCTTCGAATGCCCTAAGCTATGAAGCACGGACACACCGGAATAGGAGCCGTAGTGGTGTCGGACACACCGGGACACATACAGGACATGCCATTTGGCATGTCCCTTTAATTTAATTTATTTTTTTTGCAAGAGACACGCCGGGGACACGGATCAAGCCAGAAAACGTTCAAAGTTTTAGCCCTAAATCTCAAAATCAAAATAGAAGAGAAGAAAAGAGAGGAGATGTACCTCAGTGTACCTCAGATTTGAAGAAGAAGAAGTTATTCTAGTCAGCCTCCATACGACCTCAATCAGTCAGGCAAGTGTGTCTCTCTCTCTTTCACCTCTCGTCTCTCTCTCTCACCACTTCGCTTCTCTCTCGCGCATCTCGCCTTTTTGCTTCTCTCTTTTCTCGTCTCTCTGTCTCTTCCTTTTCTTTATTTTTCTGATTATAATTATTATTAGTATTAAATAAAGAAGATAGGGCAGAAATTAAGGACGTTGCTGGTGCTCTCATAAAATAATAGTTTTTTTTAGGATTACAATTTTTTTTTTCTTTATATTTATAATTATTTTAATATATATATTTTTCTTTATAAATATAAATGTAATAGTTTATATATATATATATTGAATTAATGTGTTAATTTTTATTAATTTTGATTGTTTTGTAACATAATATTAATCTACATAGCAAATATATATATAATTTTAAAAAAATCATCGCGTCCTCAACCGTGTCCGTGTCCCAATTTTTTTGAAATCACCGTGTCCCTGTGTCCATGTCTATGTCACAGCTTCATAGGCCTAAGTGAACTAGGCACCTCACTTCATAAAATACCCCAATTGAAGCTGAGAAGGAGAATAATTAACAAGACCTTGCACGCTAAAATCATAAGTTGTCCTTGTTTAATTGTCTTGTATTCCATCAAAAGTTGTGACATGAATTGCTTAGATCAAACTTGGGAAACCAGGCAATAGACAGAAAACTTTGAATGTAAAAATTCCCTAGGTTGTGTTGAGAATTAGAGAGTAACCGTCTTTTGAGCTTGGAGAAGAAGTGGGTAACCACACCGGAAACATTCTTGCTCGACATGAACAAACAGCTTACCTTAATTACCTTACATCGCACTAGAGATAAAAATACAAATTACTAGGATGAAAACTTAGAAGGTAAGTGCAATGAGTAGAGAGAACTTAGAAGTACATGTGTGTTAAGTAAGAACTAGAAAACATGGAAGTTAGGGTATGCCTTGTTAGGAACCCTTATGAGTAGAAGTTTTTGTGAACATTGAGAGTCAAGGGATTTGTTTAACTTGAATTTAGAATGCTCACATCTTAAGTCTTAATCAAGGAGCTTAATGTCTAATGAGTAGATCTTTCCTAGACATTGTGCCAAAATTTAAGCAAGATTTGCGGTAATTAAGTTGGATTAATTAGAACTAAAATAACTAAGCTAATGAGGAAGATTAGGGAGAAGATGAGACAAGCAAGCACATAGGTGAAGCATGCCAAGAGGTAAAGCTAACACCTCAAAGTTACGTCTCGCACTTTGGAGGATAAGGAAAACCAATTGGAGACAAGTGTCTCCCTTGATTATAAAATAGGAAAATAAGCTTAGACGAGAGAGAAAGTGGTTGTAAGAAAGAGAAAAATCTGTTGGAGCAAAGAGAGAAAGAAGAGAGGAGAAAGGAAGAGTGAAAGAAGAAGGACCAAAGAAGAGGGCTCAAATCCTAGCTCAAAAACCAACTAAAAATCATCAGAAGGTAAGGTTTTCCATCTTCTTTCACATGACAATCATCTTAAGCAACAAAGAATGAATGTAAAGTTGCATTTAATTGAAGATTGAATGGAAGGAATGGAAGGAAAATAGAAAAAGACTTAAGTTAGGGAAAAAATTGGCTTAAAATGATTGAAAGAAAGTAAGCAGCCTACACTAATTTGACCATATCTCCCTCTCTATTTGGAATTTTGATGTGAGAACACCACTATTAGAAACCAGATTCCCAGGACTTCAGTTTAGACAAAAGTCTGCCACACCTATGGCCAGACCTTTGTACGTGTGGCCAGGCCCCAAGGGAACTGCTAGAATCCACACGTGTGGCCCTCAGACCCCGAACATGTGGCTAACAGGGAATTTACTCTGTTTTACTCCTTTTTCACCTTTTTGAATTGCCTGGCCTCATTTCGCATAATTGGAACATGAAATGAACTTGAAAAAGACTTGAAAAATGACCTAGAAGTGTATAGTTAAAGGAAGTAATGTTAACTTAAGCTAGAACACTAGAATTGGACCCGAAAAAGAGTAGTAATGCATCACTTTGAATCGAGTATCACAAATACTCGCACTTTCTTTTGTGTAGGTCGAAATCTTGCAAAGTATCAACTACTTAAGAGCCATTGGTGCGTAATATTATTGTAAAGTAATGTTTTTATAAAGTAATGTTTAAAGT